TCATCGACCATGCAGTTACTAGCAAGAATGGAAGGAAAAGAGTTGACAGTGTTGATTGACTCCGGAAGCACCCATAATTTCTTAAGAGAAGCGGTAGCATCATCTCTGAAGTTACCAATTCTCAGGAAGTCAGGGTTGCATGTGCGAGTGGCTAACGGTGAAAGGGTTCCAAGTAAAGGGGTATGCAAATTAGTTCCTTTCCTGGTTGACGGAGAGGAATATAGTGCAGATTTTTACACTATTCCGCTAGAGGGTTTTGATGCCATATTAGGTGTGTCCTGGTTGGCGACTCTAGGGCCCATATTATGGGACTTCTATGATAGAACGATGCGATTCGAAAGGGGGAGCAAGACAGTGATTTGGCGCGGACTGCATCCTACATTTGTTCCTCGTGTGGCGCTGCTTCACAGCAACGACCCGGACACAGCTCAGTTGGACATCTTAATGAGGGAATATGAAGATTTATTTGCTGAACCCAAGGGGCTGCCACCACAGAGAGATTGTGATCACCGGATTACCCTAAAACCTGGAACTGGACCGGTGGTAGTGCGACCCTACCGGTACCCTTACTTCCAAAAAGACGAGATTGAAAGGCAATGTGAATTGATGCTTGACCAGGGGATAATCCAGCCAAGTAGATCACCGTTCTCTTCTCCAGTTCTACTTGTTAAGAAGCACGATAATTCTTGGCGGTTTTGTGTTGATTATCGAGAACTTAACAACAACACCGTCAAGGATAAATATCCTATTCCGGTAGTAGATGAATTGCTTGATGAACTTCACGGTGCAAAATATTTCACAAAACTGGATTTAAGATCAGGATATCATCAAGTCCGGATGCACCCCGAAGATGTGGAGAAGACGGCATTTCGTACCCATCATGGGCATTTCGAGTTCTTAGTTATGCCCTTTGGCCTAACTAATGCACCATCCACTTTTCAAAGTCTTATGAACAGCATCTTTCGCCCCTATTTACGCAAGTTCATCTTGGTTTTCTTTGACGATATTTTGGTTTACAGTAAAACATGGGTAGAACATCTTCATCACGTGCGACTTGTGTTTGAAATTCTTCGTCAAAACAACCTTTTCTTGAAGCAGTCCAAGTGCATGTTTGGAGAAACCCAAGTCTCGTACCCGGGACATGTCATAAATGAAAGGGGGGTAGAAGCTGATAGCTCAAAGGTGAGTTCAGTTAAAGCATGGCCAATTCCTCACTCAACAAAAACTCTAAGGGGTTTTTTGGGACTGACAGGCTATTACCGAAAATTCATACAGAATTACGGTGAGATTGCAGCCCCCCTAACTTCTCTTTTGAGGAAAAACTCATTTCAGTGGACTCCAGAAGCGCACCGTGCATTTGAGAAGCTAAAAGAATTACTCTCTTCGGCTCCCGTGCTGTCATTACCTGATTTCCAGAAAGAATTTGTGGTGGAGTGTGATGCATCTGGGATCGGGGTGGGGGCAGTGCTCCAGCAGGAAGGACACCCTATTGCCTTTTTCAGTAGGAAATTCCCAGAGAGGCATCAAAAGTTGGCAGCTTATGAAAGAGAGTTAATCGGCCTCGCTAAAGCCATCACTCATTGGAGACCATACCTATGGGGTCACCAATTTTTGGTCCGCACCGATCACTCCAGTTTAAAGTATCTCCTGGAGCAACGCTTGACAACCTGTCCGCAACAGCATTGGCTAAGCAAGCTGGTGGGATTTGATTTTCGTGTGGCATATAAACCGGGAAGATTAAATGCGGCTGCTGATGCCCTCTCACGCAGAGAGGACATTGAGATAGAATGTGTGGCAATCACTATTCCGATGACCACCTTGTTCGAAACAATTAAAAAGGAAGCAACTGGTTCGCCAGAATGGTCTGCAATGGAGGAAAAGGTCAAGCAAGGGAAACTAGGAGAGGACTGGAAGCTTGCAGAGGGGTTGCTGCTGTTTAAAGGGAGGGTTTTCCTCGGCTCTGACTTTCCAATTATTCCTCAGATTATCTCTGAATTGCATGATATGGGGCACGAAGGCATAGAAAAAACTTTGCAGCGTATTCGTCGTGATTTTTATTGGCCCGGTATGAGAAAAATGGTGGGAGATTACATCAGATTGTGCCAAGTTTGTCAGAGAAATAAATGGGTAAATCTACACCCTGCAGGGCTGTTGCAGCCATTACCGGTACCCCAAAAAATTTGGGCAAATATCTCATTAGATTTCGTTGAAGGGCTGCCAAAAGTGAAGGGGAAATCAGTCCTGCTCGTGGTGGTGGACCGTTTTTCAAAATACGCTCACTTCATTCCCTTGTCCCATCCATATACCGCGCCATCAGTAGCAACAATTTTCTTCAATGAGATTGTCCGTTTGCATGGTCTGCCAGAAACAATAGTCTCTGATCGTGACAAGGTTTTCATGAGTACATTTTGGAGAGAATTGTTTCGTCTCTCTGGAACAAAGCTTACCTTTTCGTCCGCTTACCATCCGCAGACTGATGGACAAACTGAGGTCGTTAATCGCACTATAGAGATGTACTTGCGATGCATGACAGGAGAGAAGCCAACAAAATGGGTGCAATGGATACCGTGGATTGAATTTTGTTACAATACTTCCTACCATACATCACTAGGAGAAACACCGTTTCGCTTGGTATATGGCCGAGAACCACCTCGGTTATTGGCTTATTCTGCAGGCTCCACACGACTGGAGGCAGTTGATAAGGAACTCATTAATCGTGATGAGCTTGTCACCACCGCAAGAGAGCAGTTATTGTTGTCCCAACAGCGCATGAAGAGAGCATATGACAATAATCATCGGGACTTACAGTTTAATGTAGGTGATTGGGTGTGGCTGCGATTACAACCGTATCGACAACTCACAGTAGGTCGCTCTAAGCAACACAAACTGCTTCCAAAATTTTATGGGCCATTTAAAATATTAGCAAAGGTGGGCAGTGTGGCATATCAGTTGGAGTTACCACCAGGAAGCAAAATACACAACACATTTCATGTGTCTTTACTAAAGCCTCATCAAGGGAGTATTCCACCGGCACCAGGGCTGCTGCCCCCGCTGAAGGACGGCAAGGCCCTGCCAGTACCAGCCAATGTTCTGCACTTCCGTTTAAACAGAGGTGAGAAGGAGCTGCTAGTCCATTGGCAAGGCCACACAGCTGAGGAGGCAACTTGGGAACCGTTTGACACTTTTATTGCTGCTTATCCAGGATTTGAGCTTGGGGACAAGCTCAGTTTTGAGGGAGGGAGTGATGTTACGGATGCGTTTTATGGAATTCCCTATCGCAGGAGGAAACATATGGGCCGGCAGGAAGTTTAATTGGAAGAGGAATCTATCCTGATGCTATTTTCATATTTTATTTATTTATTTATTTATTTATTTATTTATTTATTATTTCCTATTATTAATAGAAGTATTAGAAGTTACAGTTTTAGTTAGAGTAAAACTCTATCATGTAAAGGGCAGACTGCCTATTTATATTCTTTATTCAGCCTTAATAAAATCTATCGATCTTTAGAAATTGTTCGCAGAGAAGTCACGGACTCTCTCTCCTCCCTGCGCTCTTCCAGCCACGGGCAAGAAGAAGAGTCACCCTAGGCGGCAGGTTTTGCCCTCACCGACTCACCCTGCCACAACAAGTCGTCCTTGGACCCGTTCTCAATCCCAGAACCCTAACATTTTGGTGCGTAGGAAGCCGACTGAAGCCATAGCTTGTATGGTAATTTCAAATTGTGAGCTCTGACCCGTAGGAGGCTGAGCTTGGGATGGAGGTGGAGTAGCGTTGAGTATTGCAACATCTTCCAAACAGGAAAGGATTTGCAATGACAGAGCTGAACATGAGTAATAACAAAAGAGAAAAGTTGATTTCATTCTCAAAAGTAAAATTGATGAAAACAACAAGATGAGTAATGCATGGATTCTTCCGATTGTTTTTTTTAAACAAATCTTACAATTAAAATTGATGCTTTCACAACAAGATGAAATAGTATCCAAGGCAAAATCGTACCTATAGTATTCATCATAACAAATACTTGTGATAGAATTAAGACCAAGGAATGGATGAAAACATCTCATTCAACAGACTGAATATATGAATAGAATCAGATCTCGCAATTTAGAAGAACAATCCAAAAGCCATAGCTACCAGAGGTACCAAAGGGGCAGGAATGAAAACAGCAGTATAGGAGGAAGGCGTGGGTGCTTCTAAGGCGGCGGCGTTTTGGACGTCGGACAGATCTACTAAAATCTACACAAGAACAACAAGGAAATGCTTCATGTTGATTGCTGCCATTGCAGGCACACGATAGACTCGAGTGTAGAGAATGGATTGGTAGGGTTGATGGATTCTTCAGATTAATTAAGTATGAATTTCGATTCCAATTTGTCATCGCTCATAACTCAATCAAACGAAGTAGGTTAGAAAAGAGCTGGAAGACTTCAAGTTTCAACCAGATGCGATGAAGAAAGTGCGCAAAAGGAATTTAACGAGCTTTTTGAAGCCTGCAATTTTAAGATTTGGCCGAATTTTTTCACTTGCCGCTAAGAATTTTCCCGGGAGCGCTGAGTCAGAGCGTGGAAAAGGCTTGCTGAAAGTAGAAAGGGAAGCAGAGGGTGTGGATTTTTTTGCGTTCCAGCTCAGCAGCACAAGGTGAATACACATTCCCGCTGCAGCAGATAAATTTATCTCAAAGCCTAATGACCAGACGTGGCAATTCATTTTTAGCTAATCAACGGTGCCACTAAAGATGCTCTTATTTTCTTATCTTTGCAAAATATTATCTTTGTGAAAGGTGGAATTTATGGTATAATAGTTTGCAGAGATAAGAAAATAACTCGGAATAGCAGATCATCAACCGATCGGGGACCAATGAATGAAGATGAGGTGCAAAGGTTGAATTATTCATGAATAACGAAAAGGTCGGACTATTAAAAGAAGATCGCTAAAAGGTTGGATTATTAATTTCCATTCTCTTTTTTTTTTTTTTTTTTAAATTACTGGGCAAGGTATATTTTTCGCTTAAATATATGCCTATCCATTTCCGTCAAAATCTCTTGTGCAACACAGCAGCAGTTTTCCCGTCGCTGATCGGAATTCCGATGGAAGCCGAGAAGGATTGCTCTTTCAACCAAGTTGTTACTTTAATTCCTTTACTTCTCTTCCCTTTTCGGAGTTCTTGTTTTTAGTTAATGTTCTTGGGTCTGTAACTGATCAGGACTTGATTCACGAAATCTTCAAGCTCGTCTGGAGAAAAACTGCTGCAGGTCCTGCCTTTTCCTTTTCGTCTATTATCATTTCCTTCAAATTCTAGTTCTCCGACATATTTTCCCTCCAGATCGCGAGAAAAACGAAATCTCCCAAACTATGGATGCCGAGATTGTTGGAGCAGCTACCACCTCCAGGAAAAACCGCCCTACTTCTGGTAGTTTTTTTACTCGTAATATCTAATCATATTCGAATGATGAGAAACTTGTTAAGATTAGAAATAGTACGGATAGTTTTTTTTTACTCCAGGGGCAGAGGGGGCTAAGTGAGGGGCTGGAGTAATCACGGCTGAACTTTCAGCCGGGATAGCGGGGATAGTACGGATAGCTATAACTGGAAGTTTGAAACCATACTCCGGGTATTTGAGAGTGAGATAGGGCTTATTATATAGATATAGAAAGTGTATCTTATTATTACAAATGGGCTATTAGTAGTGCTAATATAGATATTTAAAAAGAACAGTGCTACTTAATGTTAAGTACATTAAATTGGAGAACACATCTTACATGTAAGAATTTATGGGCAGGTAGTGCTACTGATATCTGAAGTGTGATGGCCGCCGAGAGGCATGTGCCCTCATCCCTCAGCTGTATATCCCTGATGGGATCCACCGGTACCCTCGGCCGGCTGAAGGGCCCGGCTGATGGGTGAATGGATGGAAGTGCCCGGCAACCAAGTTCACTGAAGGTTCCCTCAGCTGGATGAGGGCCCCAACCGAGGCCGTGATGGACTGTCTTCTGGGCTTGCTACCAGTAGGGTTTGTTTAGGTGTTTTGTGAGTATGTGTGCTGTGGATCTGAGCTCATATACTGATATACTCATCACGTACTGCCCTACTAATAATACGGATCAATTTTATCTGTCTTAGGGACTTCTAAAAGTTCAAAATGGCACGCCATCCTGTAGATTTATGTCTACATAATTCCACATCTCTTAGAGATCAATGATTTGTAATGCAGAATGAAGGCTCTATATTTGGATTTATCTAATGCCTATAGTAAAAGAATGAATTTCAATATTTTTTGTCAATTTGCTTTGATGATTGGACTATCTATTCCACCTACTGAGTTAGAAGGTGTATAGCATTTCAAAACCATATGATATATCATATTAGAGTATCTAGTTTCTTAGGATGAAGGTTGTGTTGTTTGTACATATTGACAGTTTCATAGTTTTAGCTGATTTGGTGTATAAAATTTCTTTGCGTTTTTCTAATCATCATCATTGTTATTTCCCCCCTGCTAAAAGGTACCCATGTTTGTCATACTTCTTTTGAATTAGATACAGATTTTTTTTTCAGGTGCAATCAGTACTTTTTTGTTTCTATTTCAATTTACATAAACTTACATTTAGAGTAAATACCCAGTTTGTTCCCTTTTTTATACACGACTATTTAATTCGTTCCTCAACATTACTATTGGAATGGATTTGGTCCTCAACTATGGTATTTGGATCAAATTTGGCTTTCATACATGTGTGGTTAGGTTTTACATAAGAGGGCTTCTTCTTTCCATTCACTAAATTTACCCAATTTTGGACAAAAAAATTGCTAAGCGTATGGAAATAACCTTGAACAAATTAGACATGAGGACTGAATTGAGTATAAATTGCATCTGCTTAGTTGAGGACAAAATTGAGTCCAAAAGGAAGAGGATGAATAGATTGAGCGATGGTGCATAGTTGAGAGATAAAAAACTGGGCATTAACTTTTAAATTTATAAGCAATTTACTTGGAAATGTTGGTTAGCATTTATTCTCAGGTCGCTCATTGCGCTTTTTGAATGATCTGTTGTAAAGAAATTGTTCGGGATTCATCTTTACCTTTTCCAACTTCCAACATTTTTTAACTTTTCTATTTGGTTGACTATTGAAGTGGTTTATGACTTTATGTTGACGCGTGCAGCAAATGCAGCTGCAGTGAAGCTTAGTTGTGAACTTCTTCGAGTTTTTGTTGCAGGTTTGATGGCTTTAATTAAAATAACAATTGTTCTCCATTTGAATATTTTGTTGTTTGTTGGCATTTTGTTCAATCCCCAATTTCTCAATAAAATCATGAAATAAAACAATTTCCTTTGTAATGTAGAAGCTGTACAACGTGCTGCTGTTATTGCTGAAGCTGAAGGTACTGATAGGATTGAAGCAACACATTTAGAGAGGATACTTCCACAGTTACTTTTGGATTTTTGAGGTACTCCTGAAACATTGAGTTATGACTTAAGTGCAACTGTGCAAGCCACACAGATATTACTGGAGATTCAGCACTTCAGTGATTAACTTATAATCTGATTATGGTATTTTTAAAACCATATTCTGACAATTTCTGCATTGAAGTGGGTAGATGATATGTAATATTTTCTGGAAACAAATTTGATTTGATTTGTAAATAAAATGCATTTCTTTTTAAGTTTTTATAATTATCGATTAGACTTGCTGTAAACAAATCTTTCTGCAAACTTTGGAAAACACGTTCCATGTTGAGTTGGTATATATTTGAATTTTAAGGATTTGTTTCGCGCATGGATCTGCACTAAAAGGGAATGGGTTGGGTAAGATGGGGTTATATCACTTGTATGTTTCATGACCCACGTTTGGTACTGGACTACACTGAAGTGAGTGGGAGAATGTGACAAATGTAGCCCCGCCAATTAAGAGAGCTACAAAAGTACACATTTAAATGGCCTCAAGAAGAATATAGTGTTACTCAAAATTTATACAAGGCAACGAGTTACTGATTGGTCCCCTCTGGCACATCCAGTTCAGATGAGTCCATCTAAGTGTCTAACCAAACAAGTATTTGATAGGTAGCGGAACAATCACAGAAGATAATCAAAGTATATTTATGAAGATTTAATGAAGGAAAACATAAAACAGCAAAAGAAAAGGTTGAGACTCTTCGAGTGGTCTCACACTCCCAAATTCCCAGTCCCGGTCGGTATTCAAGGTCAGTATTCAATTGTTCCATCTGTTGGCAAAACAGGATTTTTTTGTTTAATTGAATGCTTAGTTGTAAATGTTTAAATATTTAATAACACTGATGCTCTAGAGCCCGCTTGGTAGGGGTGTTCTTCGGTTCGGTTTCTTCGATGCTGGTTTTATTGGTTAGGTTTTTAGTCGATTTCTGTAATGGTGAAATCTAGAAGTGGACCGCACAACTTGAGTCGATTTTGGTCGGTTTTGGTCGGTTTTGGTCGGTTTTGGTCGGTTTGTATCAGCTTCAGTCGGTTTTTGTCAGTCGATTTCGATTCGGGTTTTTAACCCAAATGTTGAACCATAATCCCAAGTGCCGATGGGTTATCTCGTTTTAGTAGGTGTCAATTTCATTCGATTTAGTTTTGATCAGTTTGATGTCACTAACCTCGGTAGAATTTCAGCTTATGCAGTTAACTTCAGTGTTAACACAAGGGTTCCTAGAAAAATTTATTACCACAGCTACTCTAAGAAAAATATATCTGTGAGAAGTGGGAGTTTTCATGTTCACCTCAAAACACAAATAAGGGAATAGATGGAGTGAGCTACCCCTGTCCCTTGCTGGGTCACCCAAAAAAGATATGGCTTAGCTCTTGTCTCTTAGGGGGTGTATTGGATCTAGAATTAGTGGTAAAATCTTAGAAGTCTATGGAATTTAAAAGTCTGGGTGTATTGAATACATATTATTAAAAGTTCATAAAAATCTAGCTGTATTCAATTAGAATTTTCAAAAGTCAATAACAAATCCACCAAAGTTTAGATGTATTCAATGCAGACTTTTAAAAATGAATAAAAGTTTGTTTATTGAATATAATTATGAAACTCATGGATTTGGGTAATTATTCATATTGGTGGATATTAAATCCATTTATATAAATAGTCATTCTCCATTATTTTCTCATCCTCACCCAAGTGATTTCATGAGACTTTCTAATTGCCATTTTATTCCTTTCTCCCAAAGTGGCCACATCAAGCGTTTTTTCTTTGCTTATCCTTCCCTTCTATTGCTTATTCTTCTCTCCAAACTTCTTTGTTCGAATCAACAAATGTGCGTGCTTTACGAGCTACTTTGCTTTGCTTTCTAAAATGAGTATGGGTACCTACGCTCTAGGATGTGCCGTCATTTCCTTCGGAGCCACCGGAGTTTCCAAGAAATCCTCTCTCTACGGCCACTGGAAATTCTCTATGTTGCGCAACCTTGTTCGCTGCTCAAGGTCCAATGTGGATCCGGGTTTACATCAAAATGCGGATCCAAAAGCTCATTTCCCTGTTATGATGTAAAAGCCCAGGTTGCCGCGATAGGACAAGCTGCTGAAGTGATTCCAAAGGTAGAATCTCCCGTAGTTGTTGTCACTGGAGCCTCTAGGGGAATTAGCAAAGTCATTGCCTTGGCTTTAGGGAAAGCAAGATGTAAGGTTTTGGTTAATTATGCAAGGTCCTAAAAAGAGGGTGAAGTGTGCAAAGAGATCTAGGCAGGTGGTGCTCAGGCTCTTGGTTTGAGTGGAGATATTTTTATAGAGGCTGATGTGGAAGCAATGATGAAAACTGCAGTTGATGCATGGCCTGGGCATTGCAGATATATTGATCAACAGTGCAGTAATACGAGGGATAGTTTGCCGATGAGGATTATTATTGACCTGAATCTTGCTGGTGTTTTTCTGTGCACACAAGCAGCTGCCAAAATAATGATGAAGAAGAGAAAGGGAAGAATAGTCAACATAACCTCAGTTGTTGGCCTTGTTGGCAATTTTGGGCAGCTAACTATAGTGCTGCAAAGGCTGGTGTAATTGGACTAACTAAAACTGTGACAAAGGTAGGGGAAAATATTAAGAAAAGATTTTGAATCAAATCCCATTAGCAAGGTACGGCCAACCGGAAGAACTTCCCGGATTAATGGAATTCCTTGTTCTTCGTCCCACGGCAAGCTACATGAGAGTGCAGGTCTTGACAATTGATGGAGGTATGGTAATGTAAGAGGGGTTGCTTCCATTGTTTAGTGCTAGTTAGGACTTTATTTTTTTTAATCAAGACTGACATTCTACCCATCGATTTCATTGCAATGTATTTAAATGTTCGTATAAGAGGAGGGGTTGCTTCCATTGTTTAGTGCCAGTTAGGACTTTATTTTTTCAGTTGTTATACCGTGGGAGCAGCCCACGGTGAGCATCCTACTCCCACCTGAAAAAATCACTTGTTACTGTTCACACGCGTGAACAGTAACTTTTTTTTCATTGTCTGGATTCTGGAAGCAGAATGATGTAACTCACGCGTAAGAAAATGTAATTCACGCTGACAAAAATGTAACTACAGGCAAGTCAAAATGTAACTTGTCTAATATGGATAATAAGAAATAAAATATTGATTTCAATGGAAATAATGAGTCAATTGCTCAATTACTTTACCTAAATAGTGAATATGTCTGTTTTTAGGGAAAAGGTGCAAATAGGCCCATGTACTAACAAAAAAAAGGTCAAATAAGCCGTTATTTAGGAGGCTATGTCCGGCCGTCGCTATTTGGGGTGGTTCCTGGTGAAATTTTTTAATGAAATTTTTTGAGCATCTTATCCATCAAGTCTAGTCTACTCATACCAAATTTCGGCTAAAACTTCAATCGGGAAGGCATTCAAATGAATTCTTGAAGATAAATACGATTCTAACTGCGCAGTTATTTTGAAGAATTTATTTGAATGCCTTCCCGATTGAAGTTTTAGTTGAAATTTGGTATGAGTAGATTAGACTTGTTGAACAAGATGCTCAAAAAAATTCATCAAAAAATTCCACCGTGAACCACCCCAAATGACGACGGCCGGACAGAGCCTCCTAAATAAGGGCTTATTTGACCTTTTTTGGTTAGTACATGGGCCTATTTGCACCTTTTCCCTTGTTTTTAATATTAAGGCCATAAAAAATGTTGTTTAAAAATTATTTTTTTTGCTAAAGAATCATTTCTTAGCAAAAAAAAGTGATTGTTTTACTAAAAATATCTTCTTCTTTTTGCAAAAAAAAGTTTTTTTTTGAAGTGGTTTTTTTTGTAATATAACAGATTTTTTTGAGAAAAATCTAAGTTGAGTGTATGCAAAATGTAACTTGTTAAGGTAAGTCCAAATATCACGTATCGGAAGATGTAACTCACGCATAAAAAAGATGTAACTCGCGTATAAGAATATGTAACTTCATATATTATCACAAGCAATGAAAATAAGGAGTCTAATTTCTCAATTAATTAAAGTAACCAATTAATATGTTTTGTTTTTAGTATTAAAGCCATAAAAAATGTTTTAAATGAAAATAATTTTTTTGTCAAAAAGTCATTTTTTTTTGCCAAAAAAATCTTTTTTGTTTGCAAAAAATTGATTTTTTTTGTTTCAATAGCACGAGTTTATTTTGTGATGTAACTCGTGTTATGGAAAATGTAACTTGCGTTAATGGAAAATCCAACTTAGGAATATGCAAAAGGTAACTTGTTGAGACAAGTCCAAATGTAACTCGCATATAGAAATATGTAACATACGCATAAAAAAGGTGTAATTAGCTTGCGCATGTGAAGATGTAATTCCATATATTATCGATCAAATTATTCAAATGTAAATAATGAAAACAAGGAGTGTAATTGCTTAATTAATTATAATTGCCAAAAGTTATTTTATGAAAACATAAACCACACGTATGAAAAAATAATTTCATATTTTATCAAATGTAAATCAAAATAAACAAGTTTAATGTCTTAAAAAACTAACAACATATAAAAGAGATAAACAAAATATATTATAGAAAAAAGTGTATGAATAGGAAAAAATATATTATGAAAGAAATGCATAAATATTAAAAAATATCACATAAAAAATAAATTTTATTGTAACTTCATTTGAAGAAAGAAAATAGAAAGAATGTGTAAGACAAAGGACTAAGATAGAAAAAAAGTAATTAATTTATTTTGAAATGATTAAAATTGGATCAGAAAATTGTAATGCTCCTAATACATTCCACTGATCATGAATTAGAAAAAAATCATTCCGAAATAGTGGACTCAATGATTGTTAGCTTTTGATTAAAAGTAAAAAAGCACAAAAAAGGAAAGAAACGATAGTGGGCTGGGGGAGTGCGACTAAAGTAAGAGACGGTGGATAAATGGAAAACGGTACCGTATTGGGATCGGTATACCATGAGCATGGTATACTGATCTCACGGTATAATTTGCATTATTTTTTAAATCAAGACTGACATATTCAACCCATCGATTCATTGCAATGTATTTGAATGTTCATATAAAAGTCTAGATATATTCAAATCAATAGAAGTCATTCATTTAAAAGTCATTTATTTAGAACTTAGAAGTAATTCGATTTTAAAAGTCTATGGACTTCAAAATTAATGAATTAAAAACTCTACATGATTAAAAGTTTACAGACTTATTTTAATATTTGGGATCAAAGAATATCAACCAAAATCCAGATACAATAGACCCCTGTAGTATAATTGTCACAATAAATGTGTACTTGTTGATATTAATAATTACATCGTATACCTTGAATTGGTT